AATGAGGTCACAAACTGTTCTATCTAAGTTTCTCAAAGTTTGTAACTACAAATCAATAGTTTTGAATGGAAGTCTGGATATATATTCCTCTAAAGGTTCTACACATATTAGCAATTGACTATCTATTAAAATTTTGCACCAGCTTTGAGATATTAGAGCTCAAAAACTGAAAACGGTGAAATTTCGGAATTTTTTAAGGTCAAATTTCAACTTGCTTCAAATTTACACTCACTATATGTACGCGTTAATTTTTTACCGTTTTTGAGATATTTGACGTCAAAAATCGGCAAAAATCAGCAAAAATCAGTCATTTTTCAACTTGCTTCAAATGAACCAGAATCTTTTTTAAAAATCATCTACAAGATCTCAGGAACTCAAATATGTCCTTACTTTTGACTTTTGACCTTTGGTTGACCTTCGGTGACCTTCGGAAGGTAAAAAAAGTTGATTTTTCAAATTGATTTTCCGGATTCAAATTTAGGTATATTTGATCACAAAGGACCCACTGAGGTCTAAAAAAGTAAAATTTTTAAGGTCAAATGTCAAGGTCATCAAACAAGATCACAAACTGTGTTTTCTAAGTTTCTCAAAGTTTGTGACTACAAATCAATATTTTTGAATTAAAGTCAAGATATATATTTCTCTAAAGGTTACACATATTAACAATTGATTATCTATTAAAATTCTGCACCAGTTTTGAGATATTGGACCTCAAAAACTGAAAAAGGTCTAATGTTGAAATTTTTCAAGGTCAAATTTCACATTGCTTCAAATTGACCAAACTTTTTTTTTTAAATCATCTACAAGATGCCTGGAGTTCATATATGACATTGTATTTAAGATTTGACCTTTGGCTGACCTTTAAATGTTCAAAAAAGCCTACGGGGCCTCCGTAAGATTGCTTGCAATCTTAAACCTCTGGTTATTATGAAAAGTATGAGTATTATGAAAAGTTCATATGCTTTTTTTAAGAATGTGGTCCCGACGTGGTATTTGCGGTAGATAACAGCTACAGTGTAAAGCGAGAAGTATTAAAAGACGTGACAACGTTAATGGCAAACATAGTCAACCAGTTCGAAGTTGGTCCCCGTCAGACAGAAGTGCAGTTTGCAGCCCTGGTATTCGACAAGACCGTCAAAGACCAGTTTTACTTAAATACTAACAACACAAAAGATGGAGTCTTGGACAATATTGCTGGCTTATTTATGGAGTTAGACGGGAGGAAAACAAGAACAGATAAAGCTCTTAAGCAAATCTCTGAGGAGTACTTGGATAAAAATGGAGATCGGCCTAACAATAAGAATTTTGTTTGTATCATAACCGATGGTGTGACGCATCCAAAACGTTTTAAGCCAAAAGCTGTAGCACTAGCCAGGAAACTTGAGGGACATCCTTACAATGCAGATGTCATTGTAGTTGGCTTACCCCACAAGCGAGCTAAAGACCCTGGGACCCACTGGAATGATCTTGCTACCGACCCCGATGCGGAACACACGTTTCTGCCACCTCTTTATCAAGTTGCTGATTTAAGCCTCGCCAAAGCCATAGCATCAAAAATAGGCACATTTGCTTGTAATCAAAAATGAAAAAATAAATGTTTCGAATACTGTATGAAAATCTATATTCTGTTTTGTTTTGTTTCGTGTCCCTGTTGATATAGCCCCCGTCCGGTACTTGACTCGACATATTTATCATACATTCTTGGAACCCAGGTGATCCTAACCTGGTTTCCGAGGATGTAAAGTCTAACTCCGACTATATGTTAGATATATTTTGATAAAATATATCACCAGACAATATTGATGGGTAACAGAATGATACGTTAACAACGTAGTGAACGAATGGATAGTACAACTAGTTTCAGGTCCTAGTTTTATGTCCATCTTAAATGTATAGATGTCGTCAGAAAAATCTTCTTTTTCATCAAATGTTTCATTCAACACAAAACTAGATTTTTTATTGTGTTTACATTTCCAAAGATAATTATTATGATAATGCATGAGGGGTTATAATTTCCAGATATTTTCCCCTCCAGACAATTCTTATTTTCTTGTAAACTAGGAAAGTTATAGTACCCGTGCGTGATGGTGAATATATATTCTAGTTTCTGTCGAAACTAGCAAAAATCACTTCTAGACAATTAGCTCTGTGCACAAATATTTAAGTGCTTGTCAACTTTGAATTAAAGAAGAGATTATCGGAAGGATAAAATCATAGACACAATGAAAAAGGAATATTCAGCTGGTTGTACTTAACACCTCCCTACCTAATGCCACGTGCAAATTTGAGAGTCGAAGACATCACTTCCTGTGTGAAGTCTTACAATATGACAGCCTAATTGAATTCAGCGCTACATATTTAACTGATCAATATTGACTATATCAAAACATTTGTCCATGTTTTGCTAAACATTATATGGTTATAGCTACCATATTAGGAGAGAGAGTGTCTGCAAAGTAATATCCCTTTAAGTCTGTTAGCTAAGCCATGTATTGTTGCACTCCAATAATTTAATCTGCTATTACTCAAGTGATAGACCGCCAAGAAATATATTCATTGAGAAAACCATAGGGTTAACATCATTAACTAAAAATAAGCGATTGCGATACATAGGTAACCTTGTAGTGGAGAGGGTAATTTCATAATTTTCTAAATTCTATTTAGTGACAAAATAGAGGTGAGTAGATGTTGAAACGAGGCCCGATCAGAAAGTAATTCATTTGTTCATACTTTATTCAATCATATTGAAATTTTCACTGATGATGTAGAAAATATTAACCTATCAAACAAGACCAATGACAATGGGTTAGCGTCACTTCAATTGTTTTGGCTGTTGCCATGGTGACGATTGTTTTGGGTAGGCGGGTCACCCTTTTGTAAGCGGTTTTGGAAGATGATTTGTAGATTTTTTACATGCTGTTTACCTCCAAATGACCTCACATTTTCATACAAAGTTGCATAATTTGTTTTATGTATTATCACAATGGGTAACTACCTTTCATTGTCTTATCTATAAGACATAGACACAAAGAAATCAAGGACATACTGTATGTGTCATAATGATGGTCACGGATCAGGCACAGTTTCAATCTAGTCAAATGTTGTTGGAGGGGAATTTTACTGGCATGACGACAATACAGGGTGGGCAAATAAAAATGTCCATACTTTTATTTTAGTAATACCTTCGCTAGTATGTTAGAAATATCCATAAATTATATATCATTTGAAAGATAATTCAATGTCCAATAAAGTGATTATATATGATTCATAAAATATAAATGCCTATTGGTGACTCCATTGTCATTTCCGTATCATGGGGTAGTAACAGTCGAAAACAACATTTCACGATATGTTTTGAGCTTAATTCATAATATTGCATTGCTTAATCAACCCTTTTAGGCTTCTACATATGAAGAAAAGGTATTGGAGTTGAGTTTTAATGTTTGTAAATCATTGTTTAGATCTACAATAATCATGGAACATATTTCTATACATTGTTACTAACAAACTAACTTAGTTTGTTATAAAGTAAGATTGAATTGATATTTGCTTCAAACATGTTTTGCAAAGAAACTCAGTTGAAGTTTCGCCATAACCCATGATATGGAATACGTTTCCACAATTTCCTTTTTCGATGCCTATAATTGCGTTGGTTGCCATTCAAAATGTCAGTTAAGTTAAGCTATATAAGTGAAACATCATTATTGATCATTTCATGATAATTTTATAATTATCTCCAAAATATCTTAAAATGAGTAAATACTCAACTATTTGAGTCAGAAGAACTCAATAATATTGTATTTGTAAAGGAGTGGTATTGATATGGTGAACTTTTTGAACACGCGTTTCTGTTAAACCAGTCATCGAAACATTCTGAAAATTTTACACATCGTCAATTTAATGGTCATCTTTTGGATTGTAACATTATAATTTGAATTCTAACATGATATGTGATGTCACAATAACGAGAACAATTGATTTATTGGTCTATATTGGGGTATGTATGACCTGTTAATTTCAATATAGACCAAAAAAGTAACGGCTATTACAATTGCATACTCACCCCCTCTGAACGAATTTAGTCACAATATAGGATGGAGTAAAACATGATATAGTCATTCAACTGGGCTAGACATGACAGATGTCAGGGTGTGGAATAGGCTTTTGGAGCTTTAAGTTTAGAGCTTGATAAGGCAAAGACATGAAGCATTTTCATATTAGATTCTACACAGCTGTTAACATGCTAAGTCCTCCCTCTAGGAAATTAACAAAACAGGTATTTTATTTTGCATAAATCTATTTAAAATATTTCAACACATTAAAGATATGCACATTATATACTACATGTATGATACAATGGCTAGCTTTGAAAGAGCTTTGAAATGACTAGATTTCACTCTAACTAGAAATATGTATACAGTTAAAATAACTAGATTTCACTTTGACTGGAAATGTAAAAACTTGAAATGACTAGATTTCACTCTGACTAGAAATATAAATACAACATCTATATGTAGACATCATTTTGAAAATGCATAGAAATGACTAGATTTCACAGACTAGAAATTTTGAAAATCCATAAAAATGATTTCACTGACAAAAATTATAAATACAACATACATGTAAACATCTACAAATTTTCTAATCCATAGATTGTAATACAAGTAAAAGTAGTACAGTATTACGTATACAGTTATATACAGAGATATATACAGGGTGGTCCAAAAAAATGGGACACTCGTATTTCAAAAATAGTTTAGGCCAAAATTGAGGGCTAAATTTGATCAAAATGGTGGGCATATTGAGTATCTGTTTATGTAAATAAAGTTGACAAAAACTTGGTTTTTGCAAGTTTTGGAGAACCCGTTTTGAAATGAAAATGACATCATTTATATTATAGACGCTGGTTGACAGAAATTATAATTAATTTGAACTTATGATATACCAAATTAAAGATAAGTAAATTCCCTATCCACTGGTATATAATATGACATGTTTTCATCAAGAAAATCAATATTTATTTTTGAAATACGAGTGTCCCATTTTTTTGGACCACCCTGTACATATTGTTTTAGGAAACACATCAGACACTTGTTTTGTTCTTGGTATCATACACTCCCTTCCGTAATTACCTCCAAATTTTCTCAATTTTTTTCCTCAATTACAATAGGTCGAAAATTGATGATAAGTTAGATGATTTTTTGAAAATCGTCATTCCTATGCTATCCAATGGGAAATTGAGGGTTTGGGGCAAATCAGAAATCGGGATATCTTTTCAGTAAAAGATTCAGCAAAAAATATTTTTATATAGAAAATTGAATTGTCTAACTTTTTTGTACGCTAAGTGTTTAGTTTATTTGATGAATACTAAAGTTACAGCGCCTCAAATTAATTTTTGAAAATAACTTTTCGCCTCCTGTGTTATTTCAATGGGAGAGGTTTTTGAAAAACAATTTCGACTTTAAAACCCTATTACTTTGTTGAACCCGAAGAAACATATCAATTTTTTGTTAAATAAAGCAAATTCAATTGCCTGCCTAACTCGTATTTTTGCAAGGACTCGGATGGATGGATATTCTGTCATATGACTTGCGGCAAACCTACCATTTCCCATTGGTTGACACGGGTATCATCAATTTTCGACTTATTGTAATTGCCAAAATTTGGAGGTATTGCAAATAAAGTCAAATTACGTTTTCATTAATAGTATAATTATTTTCATCGCAGGATAAGTAAAATTTGAAGTAAAATTTAAAGGTAAAGAGGCTTTAGCACGTAGTTCAATATGGGAGCTAAGGTTGCCAAACTTATGGAGGGGAGTGTATGTTCGGAATGAAATGAAACATCTATCCGAACCTCATTGGAACAAAACGACATAAACACAATGTGTTTAGGTCTTTCAATATTGTAATTGTATAAAGGAAAGTTTGGTTGATTTTAAAAAAGTATCTTGTTAATGAAATAAAATATTTATCTTAATTTTTATCTATTTTGAGGGTTTTTGTTTTAAGTTTTTGCATACTTTCGGTAAAATCAACCAAAATTTCCTTTGTATAACTATAATATTGAGAGGTCTAAGAAAATGTTGTATATGTTATTTTGTTCCAACAATGTTCGGAAAGACATTTTATCTAATTCTCAAGAATTTGTAGAAGGGAACAAGAAATAATAGCACCAAAAAAACATTTTTTTTTAACAAAAACAGTTATATAAAATATATATACAGGGTGCCCCGAAAGTATGCCCCCCCCCCCCTAGGCAAACATATTCCAGTGTCCTCATAGTATGTGTCATATATCATTTTAAAGCTTATCCAAAGTTACATTGATTTGCCAAGTATCATGGTTTAATTCCCAAACGGGAAAAAGTTACAGTCATTTTAAAAGTTAGTGTTTTGTCAAAATAAAGTTCAATTTTACACCACATTACTAGTCAATGTCTCCCCCTTGGCCATGTTAACAGCAGCAATTATTTTCAGATATGACCTTAAAAGCCCTTCAAATAGGGGTGTGGAATTTTATAACCCTCTTAAAACCTGTTAAGGGACTTTAGAAGAGTTTCCTTAGAGTTTCTACCCTCACCGTTCTCTTTTTCCAACTGAATATCCCTTTTATTTTTTTT